ACCCCCCCTTTCTCCTGTGTAGGCATCAACGAAGTGGCTTTGGGCAGCCCCAACGTCGTGGTCCTGCCTCTAGGGCTGGGGCGGGAAGGGGACGGGACGCTCTGTCTGACACACCCCCACACCCCCTTTCTCTGTGTAGGCTATCAACGAAGTGGCTTTGGGCAGCCCCAACGTCGTGGTCCTGCCTCTAGGTAGGTGCTGGGGCGGGAAGGGGACGAAGCCTCTCGGGATTTAATGGCACCCGTGGGTGGCTCTGGGAGATGCCACCCAAGCAGGCGGGTCCCTCTGTTTGGCTCAGCCCAAGCAGGTCACTGCTGGGACCAGGAGGATGCTCGGTGGCCGGGAGTTGCCTCCCACCATGTCCTACAGCGTCTTGCCTGGGACACGGCCACCAGCCCATCCCGTCCCCTTGCAGATGTGACAGACCCCAACAGCATCAAGGCAGCAGTTAGGAAGGTGCAGGAGAAGGTGGGAAACGCCGGCCTCAACCTCCTGATCAACAACGCCGGCACCACGCGCCGCAGCACGCTGGCCACTGAGACGGTGGAGAACATGACCCTCGTCTACACCACCAACACCATCGGGCCCCTGCAGACAAGCCAGGTGAGGCTACACGCACCCCCCCTGCCCCAAATCTTGCCCCTCCTACCCCACCAACACCATCGGGCCCCTGCAGACAAGCCAGGTGAGGCTACACGCACCCCCCCCCTAGGCTGGGCGGGGGGGGGGAGGGGGGAGCCCAAGCGGCTGTCCCCTGCAGGCATTCCTGCCCCTGCTGAAGGAGGCGGCTGAGGCCGAAGGGCAGCGCGGGATGAGCTGCAGCAGAGCCGCCATCGTCAACGTCTCCAGCATCCTGGGCTCCATCGAGGTGGCGGAGGCTTGGGAGGAGAGGCAGGACGTCTGCTACCGCTGCAGCAAGGTACCGCCGCCAGGAGAACGGGGAGGAATTTGGGGGTCACCTTCCGCAGGATCCCCCCCCCACCTCCGGCTGTGGCAGGGCCACCCTGTGACGGTGGTAGTTGTGCCCCCAGGAGGCTGCTCTCATGCTCACCAAGTGCCTGGCCCTGGAGTATGGGGGCAGCGGGATCCTCTGTGTGTCCGTGGACCCTGGCTGTGTGTCACCTCCCTTGGGACGGGGGACGGTGAGTGATGGGACATGCACGGCCACCCTGGCTCAGCAAAGTCCCACGGGCATCCCTTCCCGGGGCATCCCTTCCCATGGACATCCCTTCCCTGGGCAGCCTTTCCCAGGGACATCCCTTCCCAATGGCATCCCTTCCTCGGGGGGCATCCCTTTCCATGGGCATCCCTTCCTCAGGGGGCATCCCTTCCCGGGGCATCCCGTCCCATGGACATCTCTTCCCAGGGACATCCTTTCCTCGGGGGGCATCCCTTCCTATGGGCGTCCCTTCCTTGGGGGCATCCCTTCCCAGGGACATCCCTTCCCCGGGCATGCTTTTCCAGGGACATCCCTTCCCACTGGCACCCCTTCCCAGGGCATCCCTTCCCATGGACATCCCCTCCTGGGGGCACCCACAGGCTCCTGTGCAGCCCCCTCAGTCCCAGGGGAGCTGC